GCATTTCTGTACGGTCTCTGCATCCCGCGCCCATTTAGTGATGGCATACAGCTTTACAACTTGCTTCTTAGTCTTCACGACCCAATCGGCGAGTGTGCGTTTTCGAGCACCATCGGACATGTTTGGAAGACTTGATAGAGTTTTTTCAAAGGGAATTTGTAGAGTTAACATGTGAGACACTCACGTCTCAGCAAGCTCAGACAACTCAGCATAGATGGCCTGGGCCACTCTAGAAAGAAGGTCGCCCAGCGCAACCTGGCCATCAAGAACTATAGGGAGCTCATTCTCAAGCTCCTCTATAGAGGGCTCGTGGTGACCGTTCATATCATTAATGATGACTGCCAGTTTGTGAGCTGCAAGTTAGCGCAATAGTCCGTCGGACCGTTGGCGCTGCGAGGTAATGGTTATTGACCAGGAGCCGTCACGTGTGTCGTGACACTCTATGTCAAATATAGTAAGTAATCTTTTCTTTTTCAAGGTTTACATAACGTGCAGTCACATAACGGTCACACTAAGTAACTGTATTTGGTTACATAATCAGGGAAATTCTAGATTTTTCCTGGAACTTTTTTATTGCCAGTTTTTACCACCTCTCTTTTCTATTCGTCCTCTCTTCTTTGAAGTTCGTCTTCCTGATTCTAATTCGTCGTTGAAGTAGCTATGCACACGTCTTCCCGTACCCTCCGTCGCGCTGCCGCCAAGGTTAAGCCTACTTTGACTCGCAGTGTACACAAGGAGATCAAGTTCAGTAATGACGGTCGTGCTAGCATCCTCAAGGGTGTCGACGTCCTTGCTAATGCTGTCAGCGTCACCCTCGGTCCAAAAGGTTAGTATCACCCCCTTCACTCTCGCGAACCAATTGTGAATTCAATTTTTTTTTGCAATTTCACAGGCCGCAACGTCATTATTGAGCAGAGCTTTGGTGGGCCAAAAATCACGAAGGGTAAGCCCTTTTTCTCTCTCTATATCTACTGTTCTTACCTGAATCACCCTCAGACGGAGTAACTGTGGCCAAAAGCATCAGTCTCAAGGACAAGTTCGAGAATCTTGGCGCCCGGTAAGTTCTTTTCGTCTCATTGTCAACATGCCATTCTTACGCGTTCCCGAAATAGGCTCGTGCAGGATGTCGCGCAAAAAACAAACGAAATTGCTGGTGATGGCACTACCACCGCAACCGTCCTCGCTCGTGCTATCTATGCCGAGGGTGTCAAGAACGTTGCGGCAGGGTGCAATCCCATGGATCTTCGTCGCGGTGCTCAATCTGCCGTACAAAAGGTTGTCCAGTTCTTGGAAGCCAATACCAAAACGATCACCACTACAGCTGAGATCGCACAAGTCGCCACTATCTCTGCTAACGGCGACGAGCATATTGGTGGGTTGATTGCGCAAGCAATGGAGAGAGTTGGGAAAGAGGGTGTCATCACCGTGAAAGAGGGCCGGACGACCGAAGATGAGATTGAGGTAACAGAGGGCATGCGCTTTGACCGCGGTTACATCTCCCCGTACTTCATCACCGACGTCAAGACTCAAAAAGTCGAGTTCGAAAAGCCTTTTATTCTCCTCTCCGAGAAGAAAATTTCCTTGCTACAGGACATCCTTCCATCCCTCGAAACTGCTGCCTCAGCTCGCAGACCGCTGGTCATCATTGCAGAGGATGTTGACGGCGAAGCCCTCGCAGCTTGTATCCTTAACAAGCTCCGTGGCCAGCTCCAGGTCGCGGCCATCAAAGCACCCGGTTTTGGTGACAACCGTAAGAGCATCCTTGGCGACCTTGCCATCCTCACCGGCGGCTCAGTCTTCACTGATGAACTGGACGTGAAGCTTGAGCACGCAACGGCTGACCTCTTGGGCAGCACCGGCAGCATCACCATTACCAAGGAGGACACCATCGTCCTCAACGGTTCCGGCTCCAAGGATGCTATCTCAGCACGGTGCGAGCAGATCCGCGCAGTCCTGAATGACCCCACCACCTCCGAGTTCGACAAGACCAAGCTCCAAGAACGTCTTGCGAAACTCTCAGGAGGTGTCGCTGTCATCAAAGTCGGTGGTTCATCTGAAGTCGAAGTCGGAGAGAAGAAAGACCGGTACGACGACGCACTTAACGCAACGCGTGCCGCTGTCGAGGAGGGTATCCTCCCGGGCGGTGGTGTCGCACTGCTCAAGGCTAGCCTTTCGCTCAAGACAGCTGTAGCCGGCGAACCTGCCTCCTCTGACCCCGACATCATCCCAACTGCCAACTTCGACCAGGGCCTCGGCGTCAGCATCATCCGCCGCGCATTGACACAGCCCGCACGCACGATCCTCACCAACGCGGGCGAAGAAGCAAGCGTCATCGTGGGCACGCTTATCAACTCGTCCAACTTCTCCTTCGCATACGGTTACGACGCGGCAAAGGGCGAGTACACTGACATGATCGCGCGTGGTATCGTCGACCCGCTCAAGGTCGTACGGACCGCACTCGTAGATGCCGCAGGTGTCGCGAGCTTGCTGACCACGAGCGAATGCTGCGTTGTAGACGGTGAGGAGGACAAACCTGCTGGTGGTATGCCCGGTGGCATGGGAGGTATGGGTGGCATGGGCGGTATGGGCGGGTTTTAAGTAAGGAATGTTAAACCTTACCTGCGACTTTGTGACGCGCGGGGTACAATAATTCCTAAGCGCCGTCAGTACTTGTCGTCACTTCATTTATGCTGATTTATTATACTTGCTTTGTTGTTGCACGCCGTTACGCCCCCTTCACCATCATGCACTTCACGTATTTGTATCCCTCATAATTACTTGCATGGAATTCAAACACCACTCAGTCTACGTACTTTTGTGTGATCTTCAGTTTACATGAACGGGATGCTATTAGTTGCACGAACAGTTGTGCTTTAATGGCCCGTCTGAAGTGACCGAGTTCGCAGGTTCTAGCTGACGGACGCAAAAATCTCTCACCGAAACCAGCATGATTTGCCAGTGATATCTCTGTCGCCCACCCTGCTTGCCCCTTGTCAAATTGTCTTCCCTGCAGATTTATCATCAGCTGCACGCCACATCTACTTTATCGCAATCTATAAAGAGGTCTTAAAGGAAAGCTTGAAGTTCCGCAATTGGTCAGTCAATCTTATTCTAGGTTGCATTGGACGCACGCAGAAAACAGAATACTGCACCGCCCTTCTCAGCAGTGTAAAGTGGCTACCCACACACAAAGTTTCTCTGCCCCGCATGGTTCTGGTATTCGTGGCCAGTTGTGACGTCTGCAGTGGTGTCTGCGGGGTCCGCGTTTGCGGCCATCTGGCCAGTTCGTTCTGCCAGAATCAAGCAACTGGAAGCAGAAGAGGCACCAAGGAACTTGAAGATGAAAAAATGACTTGTAGAGATTGTGATCCGCGTAGTTAATGTGGCAGAGCCGTCCGGAAGAACTGCAACAGTTAGCTGCAGAAGATAGTCGCAGAGCGGAGGAAGCAAGGCTCGCTGATGATCATAAACGGTTCGAAGGTGTTCGCCCCGAGTGTCGCCCTTCAGAGGAAGATATCAGTCGGATGAAGGCCCAGTATCATTACAGTCCGGGATTCATCCACATTCGCAGGCACTGGCTCTGCTAGAGCTGGCAAGTCGTCCTTCATCAATGCCGTCCGTAGTTTGTCCAGAAATCATCTCATGGCCGCTCCTACGGGAATCATCGAGACCACTAGCACCGTCGGGAGCTACCCTGATCCGTGCCCGAACTCCCGGATGATTTGGTATGGCGTTCACGGATCAGGCACTCCAAAGGTGTCTGATTGGAAGTACTTCAAAGACATGGGCCGCTAAGGTTTCGACCCTTGTGATCCCGACATGGACGACGAAACACGTTCTCTGTTCCGGCTGACGAGATCACAAGAACAGAACAGGTCGATCGATGAAACATGCCAGAATGTCCAAATAAACCCTGAGAAGGTGAATCTCCCTCGTAAGAAGGTCTACATCATTTGCATGGATGCCATGCTTCAGACGGTGTGCAACATAACGTTAAGTTCATAGAAGAGGACGAGTGATGGGGTCTTACAAAAGATATATATACTTTCTGAGATATTCACGAAAGCCCACATGGTATTGAGGCTTGAGTGCAAGGTCTCAATTAGACTATACGAGATTTGAATCGTGCATGGTGGGCGTCAAGTATTTGATATCGGATCCACAATGCCTGCAAAACGGGTTATATCATGCGGAAGCATTTTTGCACATGCATGTTGCTAGTGATCTGGGAACTTTTCTACGTTCGACAAAAGCCTCCTGGGCGCCCAACTAATGTTGACAATCGTTTGAAGCTCCGTCTGTATGGTAGCATAAGTATGTGCCTTTACCTCATGGTACTTTGCGTATAGCCTGGGTTCCCAATACTGGGCATACATTCTACAATCCCTCCCAAGATGCCTGACGTGACAGTAATCAATAACCTTACCGAAGAAATCCATGCTGCTTTCTTCTTAGGCGTCCCTACCAATTGGAAAAATCAGCTCAAACCCGGAGAACGTTGGACAACGCACCTTGCCAGCCTCCCGCATCGTTTTGAAGCGCGCTCTGTGACGGAGAGTCGCGAGTTCAGTCGCGATGAATCCATGGAGATGCTTGCAACCATCGGAGGCGCTTGCGCTGCCGGTACTGCTTCTGTAGTTACAGGGGTTGTTGGCATACCCGCTTCAGTACCGCTTATGGCTATTGCGAATGCTGGTGAATTTTGGTTTTTTTTGATGTAATATCATGATGTCGATGTCTGTTGACAGGTGGCGCAAAATATGGTGCATGGGGTGCAGATGGGAGGAAGTGCATTGCGAGAGTGTGGGTGCCATTGTGGCACCATCGGGAGTATTCAGTTAGAGTGATTGATGGGAAGTGTGTTCTATGGGAAGTTGGTGCTAATAGATTGGTCTAATAGCTAGCGCTATGGCTGTTTTCCGGACTGCGCGAACGTTGTCATTAATATGTACACATTGGCAGTAGCTAGTAGTTGACTATGTTTAGGGCCTGCACGATAAACTATGCCAACGTCCCGTTACATAATTATAGTAGGGCTGGGGATCCGAGATTTTACACCCAAAACGGTCGTAGCATCTTCAGTACAACCAAGCTTGTCATCGCCTTCAGCTCCAGTCAGAACCCACAAGGTGGGCAAGCAATACTATTTTGATTATGAAGCAAAACAATCTAGCAGTTCCATCCCTCTAAATTTCAAGAGGACGACTGCGTGTTATGGCTAATGTTGTTAGTGATCCAGGAATTTTTCTACGTTCAACAAAAGCCTCCTGGGCCCCCACTAACGTTGACAATCGTTTGAGGCTCCATCTGTCACATGGTAGCATACGGATGTGCCTTTACCTCATACTTTACGTATAGCCTGGGTTCCCAATACCGTGGGCATGCTTTTTACAATCTCTACCAAGATGCCCGACGTAACAGTAATCAATAACCTTACCGAAGAAATCCATGTTGCTTTCTTCCTAGGCGTCCCTACCAACTGGAAAAATCAGTTCAAGCCCGGAGAACGTTGGACAACGCACCTCGCCAGCCTCCCGCATCGTTTTGAAGCGCGCTCTGTGACGGAGAGTCGCGAGTTCAGTCTTGATGAATCCATGGAGATGCTTGCAACCATCGGAGGCGCTTGCGCTGCCGGTACTGGTTCTGTACTAGCTACAATGGTTGGCATACCCGCTTCAAGTTCTAACAGGCTTATGGCTATTGCGAATGCCGGTGAATTTTGGTTTTTTTTTGATGCAATATCACGATGTCGATGTCCGTTGACAGGTGGCGCAAAATATGATGAGTGGGGTGCACATGGGAGGAAGTGCAGGGTGAGAGTGTGGGTGCCATTGCGGCGCCATCGGGAGTATTCAGTTAGAGTGGTTGATGGGAAGTGTGTTCTATGGGAAGTCGGTGCTAATAGATTGGTCTAATAGCTATGACTGTTTTCCGGACTAGGCGCGTTTCATTTGATTGTCATTATGTACACATTGGCAGTGTAGCTAGTTGACTATGATTAGGGTCTGCAGGATAAACTATGCCGATGTCCTGTTAATATGGGATTTTGTAGTAGGGCCGGGGATCCATTATATACTAGTACGAGATTTTACACCAAAAACGGTCGCAACATCTTCTCATCTGAGTACAACCTCGTCATCGCCTTCAGCCCCAGTCAGAACCAACAAGTGGGCAAGTAATACTATTCTGATTGTGAAGCAAAATGTGTTGGTATGGTCACCGAAGTCACCCGCACTGGCAGCATCTTCCACACCCACGAGAGACATAGAATTCAATTTGACAAGTCCATCCTTCTTTCAAGAGGACGACTGTGTGCTATGGCCAATCTACTTATTAGTTGCTTGTTTCACTCTTATTTTCCTCTAGTAGTATGCAGATAAATTACAAGTTGTTGACAGGACATAGTGCGCATGCTACTGGTACAGTGAACGTAATAACTTGAAAAGTGAACGTTGCGAAACGAATTCAAAGAGACAGCTCCAGTCAGTTTTTACCACTAAACACACGTTAAGTCACCTCCTGCTGCTGCCCTTGCGGCCTTCTGTTTCTTCTTTCTTTCTTTTCTCTTCGCACTCCCGTTCCTTCGTTTCCCGAAGTGCGGGTCTGTGATCTCCTTTAGCAACTCCTTCCCGCCTTGATACACATTCTCCTTCGGAAAGAATTTCTCTGGCTCCTGGAGAGTATATGCTGTCAACTCTCCCAAGGTCGGAAACAGCTTTGCAGGCTTCCCAGTCCTCGCTGAATCAACCAAGTCTACAAGGTTGACCCGCGTGTCCCAAACGCACTACACAAGCATCTCAGCCACGATGACTCGCTGCAATAATGATATACAAACGTGACGACACGCCTCAATTGAATCCGGAACAGGATCGACTCTCAGCACACGGCATAAATTCTGCCAGTTCGAAATGTCGTTTCCGTCATTCCCGAAACGCTCGTTGAATTCCTGAATGAGCGCGTCTTTGAACCCATTGCATACTTCGCGCCTATCCGGATCTTGCACGTCACATCTCAGGACCTTGATGAGGCGGTCCAAGTTCTTGTCTGAGGACTGGTTTTCGTCGAAGGAGAATGATTCAAATTGAGCGAAAAAGGCGGCGAGGGGTGTGCGCCTTGATTTTTGGTTTTTGCGCTTTTTTCGCTATATTTTTTTATCAAAATAAAGTCAAAGGAATTTGGTCGGAGCTTGCCTTTGTTTGCTTTGTACCAGGGGACATATAGTATATGGGAGGGCTTATAGGACGTAAAGATGGGGGAAACCCCTGTGCTGTGCCATATCACGAACAGACTCTTACTATATGTAAGGGATATCAAAGCGTTCAGATCCGGACCTCGTGGCTTACATGCATGCCCAGGTACCCACGAAGAACCTGCGAAGAAAGATCGTCGTAAGCTAGATATGGTAACTGACCCACAAATTGATGAAGATAGTTGTGATTCATCGCCACGAAACTTGAAATTGTGAAAGTCATCAGGGTGGTATGACGCATTGCACGGATAACGCAACATGCCACGACTCGCGAAGACCTAAACTGTAGGCACGCTCCCATGGGTGGCGCACTGAAGGGCGCCCACACATTACGGCCATGCACGAGTTCCCATACAATTACAAGCATCCCATAATGGTATCAGTGTAGAAAACCTCGTGTTATGGGGGTGGTTGGGGGGTGGCCGTAAAGATATACCATCTCTGCTGCGACTGCACGGATGCCATGAGGCAATCAGAATCATGTACATGAAGTCCTATCAAGAAGTGACCGAGAATGTTGAACCCTTGTTTCGAGGCACACATCGATAGTGGAGTGTGGGGCCAACGTGATTAGCTTCATAAATAAACCAAACATTAAAACACTGCGAAAAACACGCTGTGCCGAGTCTCACTGTTCTTATGACTTCGAAGTAGATGATAGAGAAGTACTTCTGATTTGATACCAGCTGATACTATATGCATACAGTATACCGGTGCAGAGACTGGTGAACATATCTGCCATGCCTTGCACGTCGAAGAAATGTTCACCATTTCCTACACCGATATTGTACTAGCAGGATGTACGTAAGTCAGATGCAAACTTGAACGCGGGTGCAGTTGAATCTTCAATATCAATATATTCTAGCCCGGACCTGTGCCATGTCTTCCCAATGTTAACGTTTTCGTCGAAGATACCATCACCACCTCATGTGTTCGAGATGGTAGAGCTGACAACCTACAACACTGTTCATCTCGAACGAAGGAGCGAGAGAGCGTTTTTTTCGTGCGAGCTGAATTTGTGCATGGAGAGTCAGGTTAAGTTGTCGATGAAAAGTGTGTGATTGTGCAGGACGTACATATTTTTCCCCTGCTATGTACAGTGTGGTCCCTTCACTATAAGACTGTTAATGTCATTCGTAGGCTGGTCGTTCCTAATCGGAGTGGGGAAAAGAAGCTGGCATCGGTTTTTGCTAGACGGTCGAGGTGATGGACCGCAAATGATGTAGGGAGCGGTGGCCTACTGTGATGTGCGTGTTTTATGCAAGAGTGGGATGCCACATCGAACATCGTACGAGCATGATGCAAGGCGACATGATGCGGACGAGCTTGGAATGGCTTACTACGATGGACGCAAATATCGGGGAATGGTTGAAAGATGGCGATATAAGATGTGTTGAAAAGCACGTGGGCCACAGGTGAATCGAAGCGAGGTAGTAGCGAGAGGAGTTGAAAGTTGGTTAAAAAGGCCGAACGCCTTTCATTAGCCGTTCTCGATACCCCTTGAAGCTTGAGCGATGTCAAGGATGATGTGAACGTATACGAGGGCGATTGAGGAAGTAGGTATATATATCAGCCACCGGTGAGATGAGTCTGAGCTCAACGGGGTTTTAACTGTAAACTCCGCACCAGCTATCATATATCATACCGCACTATGATCTGTTTGCAGCTGATGAACGGTACACTCTTAATTGAGTGTATTGATACTAGAGATCGATATCCTATACCATAGTTTGCTGAACAACCCGTTGTCATGCGAGTCGGCCATCTGACTCGTCTAACATGTCTGGCCCATGTCTGGCCTAGTTCGAGCAACGCCAGGGAGGGACTTCATGCGGAACTCTCCAGTGGAAGAGTGGTTGATATGCGTGGATAGGCCCAGCGAATCGTATGGTGTGAGATTGTTGATCTTAGACCTCAAGCTGACGACCACCAGGCTGCAGTACTTCTGTCGTCCACATCTCGTACTTTTCAGTGAACATAGCGTTAAGTGTTTGATGTACTCAGCACACTTATTGCTATGTTTAGTTGGAAGGTCTCCGTTGCTTAAGCACAGCCAAATTTTCTTAGGCACAACTCGACTCAGCGAGCGACTATGTACGACAAGAGTGCGACAATAGAACCTGAATGAGCTCCTGTACGAGCATCAAGTCTGGTCAGAAGTGAGAATACAGGTAAATTATATGGTTCGTGCTACCTTTGTTTCATCTTAATGATGACCTCTGCAGGTAATCAGCAATGAAGAATTTCGCGTGACAGGATCAGAGCACAACCGTGGATCAGAGCCAAGCACGTTGTCCGACCTAGAAGGAACAATAACGTTACTATATAGACCACTGGGCCACAGCGCGTGGTCACTCACAATGCATCCACACTGCTGTGGATGACGCTGCAATTTATAAGGCGAGTATTAAATATCAAAGGTAGGACTCCTTCAACCAGCTTCGCATCTTACTCGCCTGTCATGGACTCTATCTCCAAATTTCCGTTTGCCAACCTTCCAACCGAACTCGCCTGCCGCATCCTCAGATATTCCGCACAAGCTACCTTTGACTAGACTGAAAGATATCAGGTCAAAAGTCCATACTCCTCTGCACTCACACTTTGTCTCGTCTCCAAAACCGTCAGGCGCATTGTGCTTCCCGAACTCCTACACACCATATTGCTGCCGAAATCAGAAGACCTAAACAGGTTTGTCGATGCTCTATGTATGCAGGAAGAGTACGCGGAGATCCAAAAACAAAACGACCTCCGTTTGAAGCGCGGGGAGGAACAAATACCAAACGACCTCTATTTCCAGTATGCGCCTCACATACACAATATATGGATTGGGTGCATTTACGACAAGACCGTACCCAATCACTTGCTCCAATCAGACTATGCATCGGCGCGCAAGCTGACCATCAGCGTCCTGACTCCAGTGTTGCTCGCTGCGCCGTCCATTGCCCTTGGTTGGACAACTCTGAAGCTTTTTTCAGAATCCCTGGAACACGCATGGAAGTCCCGTGCAGACACAAATGCCAACGACGAACATTCACCGCCTCCTTGGAAGACGCAAACTCTGACGCTGTCGGGTGACACAGTCGTCAACTTCCCGTGGGAGCTCCTCACGAACACCCCTCAAGGATCCGCTTTCATTTCCTCGATCTCTCGCCTCGTCTACGGGTCCTACACAACCACATTCGACTACCATTTTTTTGTAGCCATGTCTCGTGACAGATCTCGAGACTACCACCTACCTCCGTGGATGAAGAGCTTTCCATGGCTTTCTTTCAAGAACCTTCAAACTTTCTCAATGGCCTACCCACATATCAAACCCCCTTTCGATATCTATGAGTTCAATCAGTTCACAAAGGGAAGAAAGGGAAGAAGCTTTCACGTGGAGCTGTTGACGTTATCTGCAGCCATGCTGACGCGCCGCCGCAATGATGTCCGTGATTGGAGGATAAGTGCATTTGCTGCGATTGGTCCAGGAGAAGAATGTATTCGAACGGACAAAGTTCGTTTGAAGGTGTCCCATTTTCCCATAGAATTTTGGAATGATTCCAATGATTGGGAAAAATTTTGGGCGTGCGGGTTATGCGGCTGAGAGGGGTGTTATGAAGCAGATGAGGGATATCAAGATATGACTTGTGTTGTATGTATGTACATGATTGCGATACTCGATGGACTTGGTCGTCTTACGAATGATTCGAGAGAGGCTCAGACTAG